TTTTTTTTAAAAAAAAAAAAAAAAAATTCTGAAAAAAAAAAAAAAAAAAAAAAAAAAAAAAAAAAAAAAATATATATATATATATATATATATATATATATATATATATATATATATATATATATATATATATATATATATCTGGCTGCCTTTATGTTGGCTAACTAAAATAATAATCACCGTGAATTCAGAATTCACTGAACACACTAATTTATGGCTTCTGGAAAGTGGAATATAAGAAGTTGACTACTTCTGAGAACAGATTTTAAATTAAGCACTGATGTGACAAAACCTACTTAATTTAGTAGATCTATTTTTTCTCCTCTTTTTATTTGCTGAATTATCAACGATACCTAGCAAAAGTTTCCATTGTTTTTTTTGTTTTGTTTTTTTTTTTTTACTTTTTCATAACCACTTTTTGTCATTTGAACTAAAGTGTATTTTACTTGGATTATGTGGCAGATCACAACAAAGGAGTGCATAACTGGGAAATGAAAGAATAAAATGATGCAATGTATTTAAGATGTTTTCAAATAAAATTCTGAAATCTGTAACATGAATTTCTACACCCCTTAATAAATGACATATGTAACACATTCCCTTCTGAAATCAGTAGAGATCTCTACAGAGTTCATTTGTGTAATTTAAACTACTTAAAGTATTACTCCATCTGTTCTGCGAAGGCTTAGGGGGTTTAATGGAGACAACCAAACAGCCAAAAGCATCACAAAGAAGTCACACAGCAGACAGATCAAGGAGAGGTTATGGAGTGGTTTAAATCAGTTGTGGGTTATAAATATCCCTTTTATTAGTGACTGAAAACCAACACTACACAGCACTCTAAACACTACAATAAAAAATAAGGGACAGGAAAGCTGTTGAAAGTTGATGGGAAGATGGATGGATGTCTGCAGAGGATGGAAAAGATGGGAGCCTCTAAAAGGGTTGAGGATCTCCTTCCATAATGGCTGGTGAAACTCAACAATAAAAATGATCATGATTTAAACAGGAGAGCAAATATATTTTCACATAGTTTGGATGACTCCCCAAAAAGCAAAAATTAATTTATAAAGGGGGAGATGGAATCACCTCATGTTGCACTGGAGCAAAAAAAAAAAAAATCTCTGTAGGTTGTACCTAAAATCTTGTACATAGCGAAATGACCACCAGATGGCGCCAACACCCTGACGTCCATTCCGCTCCTCCATCGTAACAAGAGACAACATGGTTTCAGGGTTTCAGATGAAAAATCACGCCTCAGCTGGTGTCATGTGGTTTAACCAGTCGGATTGTTCCCTGATTTTATAAGCAGCAGTTTTAAAAACAAACAAACAAACAAACCAAACAAAACCAAGTCTGGGATTCTACAGATATATATATATAAAAAAGAAACAAAAAACTCGGTTTTCTCCTCTGTTCTTTTCATTGACAACGCTCCAAACTTTCGCTTTAAGAAGGCGCGTCTCTACGCTGCGGAGTGTTTATCACAACCCTTAAAGTGGCACATGGAAACCAGAGCTGATCGGTGCATGGAAGAAACCTCCGGCATTTCTGCTTAGTGTGAGGAGGCGCTTCCGTGAGGCTGATCCACGGAGCGCGTTGTGTTCTGATTGTGGGTATATTTATGCGGCTGCCCCCACACCGCGCCGCGCCACGCCGGGGGGAAAAAGGATCAGCAGATTCCGACAGATGGACGGACTGGTGGTGGGCTCGAGATTTAAAGGAAGCATGAAATAGTCAAGCCGTCAGAAAGGTGCAGCACATTGAAGTGGCATGGAGGCACCGCCGGGGACGAGCTGCTGTGAGCCCACCTTGGCCAACTGGGAGTGACGGAGTCGCCAAACTGGTTGGGATGGCAGCATCCAGTAACTCAAGCCTCTCAGGTTCATCGGTTTCCTCTGGTAAGGGTCCGCACGTCCCACAATTTTTAAATGTAAGATAATAACAATAATCATAACAACAGTAGTAACAATTACTATTCCGATTTCAAACAAGGTGTTTAATCATTTTTATTCAAATTCTTCACATTTCTGCTTTTATCAGACTCACATTCAACTTTTGCCTGTGTTATTAAGCTGTAGACGTTTACCAATAGCACATAAGTCATAGATGTGTCATCTTCTTAACTGTTAAGCATCTATACCAGAGTCTTCTAAATAATCACGGGGAAGCTTTGCTGTCAGCAGTAGCAGCATGCAGCGGTGGAAATGTTACAGGGAAAGGAAGTCTCAGTTTGGCTTTATTCTAAGGTTGTGAAATGCATTCATTGTGACTGGCTGTGGATATCGTTGGATTGCCAACCGTCTCCATAAATCCTATATTGACTTTCCACTTGGTTGGCTTTGAGAATTGTTTTTGGCATGTGTATAAAGTGTGCTATTTTTTCTCCCCCAAACACAGCACCATGCTGAGATGTTTTCTGACACTGTGAGAAATTCTAATATGCCATGCCTGAGTGAGTGCAGCACAGTTCCAGTTAAATCTTTTATTTTTATTTTATTTTTTACTGGGAATACAATGTTGTGAACTTCGGCTATATGTACATGATTATATATATATATATATGCTTTTCTTTTTATTTTTGCAGAATGTGAATGTTGAATTAGCAGCTGTTTAAACAAACCTTGTCTAAAACCACCATCCACATATTTGAGTTGGTGAAATGTGTTGTTTTTATAAAGTACACAAACCCTTTTCTCCCGCCACCAATTGATGAAGAAGCTTAACCAAAGCCAATGTGTGTGTCTGACAATGCCTCAGCAGTTATAAAAAGTCATATTAAGAGTATCTTGTGAATGTAATTATCCCTTTATTTTGTAGCCCTTATTGTATTTTTATTGGGGTTTAATTCAGCAGGGCAACACAAAGTAACACTTAATCGTGAAGTTAAAGGATAATCATTAATTTTCCTCCTGAATGCATCGTCTCCATGGTGAAACATAGTGGTGGAGGTCGGTGTGACAGGGTTTGGAGGTTCGTCCTCCAGCAGGACAACAGCCCTAAACATGCAGCCTGATCTACAATAGAATGGTTTATCAGTAGTCTCCAACTCCATTCCTCCAGAGCTGCTGTCCTGCAGCTTTTAGATGCACCCCTGCTTCAACACACCTGAATCAAATAAATGGCTTATTACAAAACCTTTGCCAAACTTGGTGGTGTGCTGGAGAGGTAATTCAGTCATTTCATTCAGTTGTGTTGATGCAGTGATGCATTTAAATATTGCAGGACAGTGTCTCTTGAGGATTGGACTTGGAGACCCCAGGTTTAGATCACAATACATTCATTTGTTTGAATGGCTTAGTCAAAGTGCATAACTAAATACAACTGAGATTTTAAGACATGAAAATTGATGTTAACAGACGCTCTCTGTCTAATTTGACAAAGCTTGATCAATTTTGTTGAGAAGAATAAGCGAAAAATGTTCAGTCTGCTGAAAATAACTTACACTTGCATGTGGTTCTGTAAAGTAGTGACTTGAGGGGTCTGAATACAAATGCATGCCACACATGCAATCTGAAACGTGTCTTTTTTCTCATTATGATCTATCTATCTATATATATATATATATATATATATATATATATATATATATATAGGAGTTTATTTAGATTGAATGTTGGGGAAAAAAAAATCTTCGGTTTGTCACAAGTAAAAATGTGTGAGAACACTGCATAGCACGCTCGGTGTTTGTTTTACTTTCTTACTGTCTCGCTATCCTGAGTAGACCACACGGCAGCATCACATTTCCAGAGGTACAGCCCAGTGGGCGGCACACACACCACACACACACACACACACACTCACTCATTTCCAAGCTGATACAGTCTGCACTATAACCACAAGCCTCACGAAACATTATCTCATGTGTGCATTCTGAACAAAAAAACGGCCTTTTTGACCACTGCTGCTTTAAGGGGAAAGTCTTTTCTTTCTGCGGTATCGGAAGGTTGTCATTACTGCTGGGCTCTCAATATAATTATCAGGGGTTACAAGCTGCACTGCTGCCAGGGATGGAGTGGTTGTCGCAAGGGTATCATTATTTTCCTACAGAGCTGTTTGGCAGTTAGATGCATTTAAATAATCTTGTCTATGAAAAATATATACGTCTGAAAAATGAGCCTCAGTTCCTGCTCCATATAAGGTCATCTATTCTGCTGCAGACTGAGTGCTGTGGGTGTAGTGTAGCTATTTGTCATAATAAGTCTATCCAGCAATGTTTTTTTTAAAGCTTTTACTATAGAGGATGGTGTATTTAAAAAAAAAAATCAAACTTACATTTGTGATTAGTGTCTCGGATGATGGGACACTAAGAGGAAACTGTAATGCAAAAAAAAGAAAAGAAAAAGAAAACGGCATGAATAAGTTAATCTAGTAAATTAGTGCAAAAAAAATTTGCAGAATCAGATTTTTGAACATCAGTTGGTGGATGCCCACGTGGGCGCCCTGGAAGCGCTGCATCCTGTGACAGATCAATATAACCGCACAGGCTTGGAAGAACCTTGGAAAAAAACCATTGCCACTCAGCACAATCCGCTGCTACACGCAGAAATGTAACCTGAAACTGAATTACACAGGGAGAAAGCTGCATAACCCCTCGGAGCAGATATACTGCTGAGGTCTCTGAGAGCACACTCTCCTCGGAAGGACAGAAAAACAGTGGACATGTGCTCTGTGGTCAGATGACTCTGTTTCAGTTTACTTTGCTGGAGGAGGCAGGGAGGGGTGGACATTGGGTTCTACATTCCAAAACATGAAAACTATGATTCAGGTTTTCATCGGAGGGATGTATTGATGCCAGCGTCTGTGATGGTATGTGGGTGCATTGGTGCCATGGCGCAGACGTGAAAGTACCATAACTGCAGAGGCATAATTTTCAGTTTTCTGGCTTCTTTTATCCACCTCTTTGCTTAGAGCATGCAAACAAATTCTCCTTTTTTAAAATTATGTTTGAAACACATTTCCTTGAAAAAAACTCATATTAAACTCCTACAAGCTACCTTTATTCATTTTTATTTTTAGATAAATCAGTAGTGAGGTCTTTTTTCTATATTTTGTGTGACAGTCTGCATGGAGGATCACTGTTTTATTTTTTTATTTTTTTGCAGAAAGAAGGTCCTTGATTTGAATCCTGGCCAGGAGGACTTTCTGAATGAAGTTTGCATATTCTCCCCATTCATGTTTATAGGTTCTTTCCTCCAGAAACATGATTATTAGGTTAACTGGTCTCTCCAAAACTGTCCTTAGGTATGCGAGTGTGTGCATGCTGGAGATAGGCACCAGCCGCCTCCCATGACCCTGCAAGGACAAGCATGTGTATACAATGGATGACAGATGGATTTGCGTGACCCTATATTTAGGTCCAATAGGCGAGAGCACTGCAAAGGCCCTTTGCATTTGCCATGTTTTTTCTTCATGTGGAGGCCTTAACATATTCAAGAACTCACCAAACTTCACCAATAATTGTTCCCTTCATGAAATATTTGGATTCCAATGGAATCAAAAGTGGGTGTAGCCAAACTGCTCTACAGCGCCCCTTAAACTGAGAGCGGTCAAACCATATATCGCAGAAATCTGAAATTGGTACAGAAGTAGATCCAGCTCCCTAAATTAAGAAAAAAGTGTCTTGAAGTTATGTCCAAAAACGTACAACGATGTGGCCATTTTGAGACAAACTTCAAATTTAGGCAATTCTTCTTGTTACCACACCGCAAACTCTCACAAACTTCTCTTAGGGATTTTGAGGTATCAGCTTTATCTTTGGTCAGTATACAGTTTAAGGATGGGGCATTAAAAGTTGTCAACATCTCGACTTTTTGAGCATGTGTAAGGGGCACGACTAAGCAGCGACTCAGGCGTACCCACCAATGCAAATGAAACACTATAACTTTGACACAGAAAGGTCGAGCTGGACCGAACTTGGTATGAGTCAACCATGTTGGATGATAAATGATACTCTGTGGTCATATGCTGACATCATCGAAGCCCCACCACCTCGGAACAGGAAGTGACTTTTTTTTTTTTTTCTTGAAAAGCTCCATCTCCGACCCACTTGAGCTGGTCAAGATTGTCTTGTGTCAGAAGACTCACATGATTTAAAGTACAAGGAGTTTTTGCTGGAGGGTGTCACGTTGTTGCCATACGCCTGGCTCTAAATTCCACATATTTCTGCTGAGCTGCACCAAACTCACAGTGATTGATCCCTATCCACCCACCAATAGGAACGCAGTCCGATATTTGGTGGACGTGGCCTAATTCCCTAACAGTGCCTCATAGAAATTTTTAAGAAATCAGCCCAAAGCCACGCTTTGACCTATTGTGAAATTCAGTACACATGCAGCGTATTAAAAAAAAGTCTCTTGATCGTCCAAACACAGCAGGAGGTCGGCCAGTTTGGATCAAAGCAACCATTTTGTCCCTTTTACCCATGTTGTATCTGAGCAAACTCATACAGCTTTTGACATGCAGACTTCAAAGTCACTCAACACAATCTTGAGGCATTGAGATAAAAAAATATATATCAAAAGGTTTTTGCTGCATCAGAGCATGTGGATGTAACCAAGACTCAAAATCTGACCAACCCCCAAAAAAAAAAAAAAAAAAATTTAGGTGGAATAGCTTTCACACACAAGCTCACAGCTGCATGCGTCTTTGTGTGTGTCACAACAGACCAGCACTCATCACATTCACATGGTCAATATGTGACATCACCTGTTTTTCTGCCGGCTGGCTTCCTTTTACTCTATGATTCATACAGATTTCAAGCTGCGTCTGATGACAGAACAACATGACGCCGAATCATTCGCTTAACAATGGCTGGTGGCTGGACCATGCGGGCGTGTTAGAATGGCGAAATCCAATTCTTCGTCATTTGTATATAGTTGGCTCTAACTCGCACATGCAT